GATCAAGTAGTTGTAGGAATACTTTTGCTCAAAGTTTGAGTAAAGTCAAACTGCTTATCAAAATAGAAGCTGTGCCCAATTTTTTTAAAAAACTTTGAGTGAAGATATTTTCACAACCACTTGACCAACTCATGAAAATTTTTTTATTTGAATTCTATGGAATTCAAATAAAAAAATTTTAGCGAATTTAGTCAGGTGGTTGTAGGAATACCTTCGAGTAAAGTCAAAACATTTATCAAAATAGAAGCTGCACCAATTTCTTTAAAAACTTTGAGCAGAAATATCCTCACAACCACTTGACTCAATTCACCAAAAATTTTTTTATTTGAATTTTATGGATTCTTAGAATTCAAATAAAAAAATTTTTAGCAAATTTGGTCAAGTGGTTGTAGGAATACCTTTGCTCAAATTTTTTAAAAAATCAGTAAAGCTTCTATTTTAATAAACATTGTTTCAAAATTGTCTATAAATTGTCAAAATATAGTTATAATATTAGTTCAAAATCATCTTTGCATTATTATATACTAAAGTATGTAAGATATTTATTAAATATAATTTTATATTAAATTGTCATGTAATACATATTCGAATCAACTAACTCTAATTTACCAATTAATTTACTTTAACCTATCAACTAATCTAAACCCTAATTCTAACAACAACCAACTTACCCTAACTCTAGCCAACTACCAAAAAAAAATATATAATGAAATAGCCATCATAAATACAACACAAATAATGGTAGCACATATTATAATAAATAGCTATGCAATATTGATGTGCTAAACCAGGAACAGACAAATATTAGCTTTATTAATAGTTATGAGTTATAGTTTTAAATTTAAATAAATAAATATTGGGTATATAACCAAGTACAGCATAACTATATTGATATGAGACACTACAATTTAAACAAAAAATTTCATAATTTTTAGATGTATTTAATAGAGTATAAAATATCTCTTTAAAAAACATAACATAACAATTTACTATAATTTTCTAATACTAACTTTAAATGCCAGAACAGATATTAAAAATAGAGTATTTCACTTCCTATAACAATCTGCATAATTCAGAAATATCCTTGGCAAATAATAATTATATAGATAAAAAGCTAAATAAGATGTAAACAGCTTATATTAAATATTGAACCAATAAATAATTACTTAACTTAAACTAAAGATGCTTTTAATAGATATCGAGAACATATATAAGTACTACAATTAATTCTGTAAATGAAGTGATCCCACTGTAATTTTGCTGAAGTCTGACAAAAAAGATAGTTTCAAACTTTTTTTTATCACGATGATAAATCTACTTATTGGTTAAAAAAGTTTCTGAATTCTAACCTATTTATATACTTGAGAGAACCTTAACTGTTAAATAATATAAATAAAAATTAAAATAAGAAATTAATTAATATATATATTAATTAAATAAGAAAATACTAATTAAAATAGAGAATTGATATTGCCACCCCCCACATTTGCTAATGCCACACCCTGCAGATTTAGCTTTTTTTTAAACTTTGAGCAAAGATATCTTGGTAACTACCAGACCAAATTTGACAAACTTTTTTTTTTGAATTCTATAAGTTTGTAGAATTCAAACAAAAAAAAGTTCATCGAATTTGGCCCAGTAGTTGCTAAGATATCATTACTCAAAGTTTGAAAAAAATCAAAACGTCTATCAAAACAAACTAAGCAAAATTTTTTTAAACTCTGAGCAAAGATATCTTTGCAATTACTGGGCCAAATTCGATGAATTTTTTTTTATATGAATTCTACGAATCTGTAGAATGCAAAAGAAAAAAAATTCATTAAAATTGGCTTGGTGGTTGACGTGATATTTTCGCTCAAAGTTTTTAAAAAACTCAAAACGTATATCAAAACAATAGCTGCGCCAAAATTTTTCTTAAACTTTAAACGAAGCTATCTTTGCAACTACTGCGCCGAATTTGATGAATTTTTTTTTATTTGAATTCTACAAATCTGTAGAATGCAAATAGAAAAAAATTTATCGAATTTGGCTTGGTGGGTGTCAAGGTAACTTCGCTCAAAGTTTTTAAAAAATTCAAAACGTATATCAAAACAAAAGCTAGAAACAAAACTTTTTCAAACTTTGAGCGAATATATCTCAACACCCACCAAGCCAAATTTGATGAATTTTTTTTTATTTGCATTCTACAGATTTGTAGAATTCAAATAAAAAAAAATTCATCAAATTCGGCCCAGTAGTTGCAAAGATAGCTTTGCTCAAAGTTTAAGAAAAATTTTGGCGCAGCTATTGTTTTGATATACATTTTGAGTTTTTTTTAAAACTTTGAGCGAAGCTAACTTGACAACCACCATGTCAATTTCGATAATTTTTTTTATTTGTATTCTACAGATTCGTAGAATTCAAATAAAAAAAAATTCATTGAAATTGGCTTGGTAGTTGTCGAGATATCCTCGCCCAAAGTTTGAAAAAATTTTGGCGCAGCTTTTGTTTTGATATACGTTTTGGGTTTTTTAAAAACTTTGAGCGAAGATATCACGACACCCACCAAGCCAATTTTGATGAATTTTTTTCTTTTGCATTCTACAGATTCGTAGAATTCATATAAAAAAAAATTAATCGAATTTGGCCCAGTAGTTGCAAAGATATCTTCGCTCAAAGTTTAAAAAAATTTTGCTTAGTTTGTTTTGATAGATATTTTGATTTTTTTCAAACTTTGAGTAATGATATATTAGCAACTACTGGGCCAAATTCGATGAACTTTTTTTTGTTTGAATTCTACAAACTTATAGAATTCAAAAAAAAAAATGTTTGTCAAATTTGGCCTGGTAGTTATCAAGATATCTTTGCTTAAAGTTTAAAAAAAAAGCTAAATCTTCAGGGGGTGGCATTAGCAAATGTGGGGGGTGGCAATATCAATTCTCTTAATTAATTAATAATTTGTTGTATTAAAGTTTTCTAAGATGTAAAAAAGAATTTATATGCCTGAACAAAAGGCTATAAGAGAAAAAAATTTAGCTTCAATGATGCCGGAACAGTATAATCGGCACAGATAACAAAATACCGATTCGATTAAGTTTGTGATTTCGGTATAATAGATTCAATAAAATCATATATATATATAAAGCAGAAAAATTACCAAATACAGATTTAGCATATCTTGCATGTTGACAAGGGTCAACAGATCGAAAAGACAGGGAGCATTGGGCAGGGGATATATGGCACGTGCTCGACTCAGCCCAGTTACCCGCATCAAAGATCGATCGGTAAATGAAATCAATATTAAATCAGATCTCACACAAATCAGTAGACACATGACACGTGCCCAAGTTGGCCTGGTTACATGCATAAAGAATCGATCGGTAAATGAAGTCAATGATAAATCATAAATTTATGCAAACCGAAAAAGCCACCAAAGTGACAAATATAAAATGGTCTTTGGAAAAAAGCCAATTCAACACTCTCTTTCTCACAAGAACCCAATTCATTTAATTTGCATTTTCTCGATTTAATTGTCTCGAATAATTTTTCGAATGTTTTTATCAAAATAAACGAAGAATACGGTAAAGAAGTTAATTAATAAACAATAAATAGTAGCGCATAGTAGCATATAAAAAAAAAAAAAAAAAACAAATAATCAAAACCTTGATCATGAGCCAAACCGAGCCTGAGTCACATGATGCCGCGAGAGCAAAAAACAACCCTCCTTAACTGGCAACAACTACACCTACTTCCAGCAGCATGACTGTGGGCATTAGACATCAAGGATCAGACCTTAACATTGATCTATTTATAAAATCATACATTGACGAGTCGATCAAAGCATCGATCACTATGGTCATTAACTCTATCAAGCAATACATTGACTCTTAGTTTGACAGGCAAAGATCGTGGAATGAGCAACTTCAATTAAACATCAACAACACACTTGCCAAACTCATACAATTAAACAACAGCTACAGCGCCGTAACCCACGCATCAACTTTGGCTAGCCACACAGCCTCACTATAGCAACCATATCATCCGATGGATATACCACAACTATGTACAACAGAGCAAGCAAGTTGGGACATCCAAACTACAGGTAATCACCCCCAACTTCTACATTGAATAACTTGATTATAGCAACTTCGAGAGTGAGTCTACAACCACAAAGCTCAGTAGCAATAGAACTACTAGCGTCAGCGGCCAGGAAGCTGTCTGTACTCAAGTTGAATTCGAGAAAATATCCATCTATCGATTACGCACAGTTCGATCAGATGCATGAAATTCAAGGCTTTTCGAACCCGTATGCAGCAAAAACTGAGAGTATACAAATATAGTGGGTCACCAACTAGCAAGAGGGCAAGCAAATCGTTGAAAGCCTCCTGTACAAGCCCAACATCTCAACCAAGCTATGGAAGTCAATAGCATTTGGTTCTTATGTGAATTTACAAGATTTCTTATACAAAAACCTTCTAATCAACATGAAAGAGGCCGAAGACGAACCCATGTTACAATCATCAGAAGGGGGCTCTATCTCGATCAAGAAATGCTCGTGCCACACGGCGTTTTTAGATATATCTGAATGGCTTCTGGCTTTCAAGTCGTATATGGATGCAGTTTTGATAATCTATAAAAATCGGGAACAGGAGTTAAACGGCTACAAAGATTATATCAATGAGTTATGCCTGCGACAAAGCTTTCACGCGGTTATGGCATACGATGAAGATCGCAAGGTAACAGCCGTTACAAATCATGATTTAACTCTCTTCGATCGCGATATCGAAGTTGAAAGTCGTAACTTCGATGCGACTACAGTCAAGAAGCAAAGGATAAATACATATCAGCTCACAAAGCTAGACACCAAATGGCCCAACGGTAGGTAAATTTGTATTAATTAGAATAAGCGGTTTTGCAAGGATGAGAAACTCTGTAGCAAGGTCCATGCTTGCCTGATATGTAAAAAGACAAATCATAGTGAGCAGCATTGCTTCAAAAAAAACAACTCAAGAAAGTACAACCTATCTGATGGTAGGTTGGCAGAAAAGAGCATATAGCAATAACATTTTGCTGGCTCTCCCACAGAGCTGCTATGCAAATAAGAATAAACAATAAATAATAAAAAAAAAAAAAAAAAACCCCCCTAAAAAGGGGGAACTCATAGTTATACGGGCTTGTCAGTAAAGCATGAAGGAGTGGTATGTGATACGGACTTATCAGTTGCAACAACATTGGCACATCCGCAAACAATACAACGCTTAGTAAATTAAACAATACAAAACAAAAAAAAAAATAAAAATCAAAACTAAAAGGAAAGGGGTAAGCACATATTGCAGGGTATCGATTCCGCATTCAAGCTGCTATATACATGATCAATAAGTGACAATAATGAAAAAAAAAAAAAAAAAAAGAAAAAGAGGCAGGCACATACCGCAAGACCTCGATTAACAGTCAAGCTTAGCGCATGCATAATCAATAAGCATTAGTAACGAAAAAGAAAGAAAAGGAGATTAGTATATATATAATATATATATATATATATAAATAATAGTAATTATTAAAAGAGGTGTGGCGACTTAGTGTAGTGGTCTAGTTGTCACCCTCTTCAAGTGGCAGGTCTAGAGTTCAAATCCCACGGACGACGAATTTTGAAAAATAGCCTGTGCTATGGTTTACGGTTGTC